GTTAAATACCAGAAATAAACTATAAAACATCCAATAATAAGTAAGTTGTTTTAGAAGTCAATTTATAAGTGAAGAGTAACATATACATATTCCTTGGAAGATCCGTCTTGCCTACATTGTTACGTAACCTCAATCATGTAAGAACGAAAAGCTCAGTTTTCTTTGCATAGATTATGATAGAAAACACTGACTAATGCAAATACAAAATGTAAGCAAACAATTATAAACATAAAGCATTTACACAGAACAATTAGCTAGTGACAACAAACAGCGGCTTTTTGCTGTATTAGAGGCAGTTTCTTATCGTTTCGTTAACCAGGACATGATAATTGTGACTACGACAAAAAATGTTAGCCTGAGGAACTGAAAGCGAACATTCAATACTGTCATAAAAGCCCTATCACATCACAAGGACGACTGTCAGAGACATTTGATTGGAATCTCTTATCGCTGTGTTCAAACAGGACGTTAAATCGATGACTGCGACATAGAAAAAAAAATACCCGAGGCATTACAAAAAAACAAAAACAAAAAACTGACAAGATCGTCCAGGAGTCTTACCAGATCATGATGATAGAAGATTGTTATTGTTTTATTTAAAGAAATAAATAAAATTCTCACATTATTTAACATACTTCTTCTCAATTCTAATTACTCAACAAGAAATATTCTCTTAATGGGAATTAAAAATTAGTCGTTAAATTTATTATACATGAGTAACGTGTGCAGTTAGTGGCGTACTGATATTATTCACTATTCGTTGTTGAAAGGGTTGTCATTCTAATATTATTGACTACTTACACTTGAAGAGGTTGTTTATTTTACTATTACGTGTTATTTCAATTAGGTAACAAAATTGGTTCATACCCAAATTTTGGATTAATGTATATTAACTTTGTTTATTTCCTGTAAACGATATTTTCTGCTACTATAATATTGTTGTGAACTATGTTTTAATATTTCAATGTTTTGTTTGCTAGAAGGAGTGCTAGAATGACTTACCGATGATTTGCGACACCTAGAAATTCTCTAAGGTCTAGATTTGGCGTGATATGCATATACGTCTTGAAATTTCAAGAGACTTGGGGAAACAAAGTAAGTTTTTTAGTCTGTTTCGGTCGATTGCTTAATTAATGAATGTATTAGTTAGCCAGTTTTGAGTTTTTGCCATAGATACGTGAGGAAATTTAACAAGTAAATAACTGTTTATTTCTTTTGTGTGTGTATGAGTTAGGCGTATCGCTAGGTGAGTTTGTAGAACTTGTATTGTTGTTGTTTTTGAAGTTAAGCACAAAGCTACACAATGGGCTATCTGTGCTCTGCCCACCACGGGTATCGAAACCCGGATTCTAGCGTTGTAAGTCCGCAGACATACCGCTGTGCTACTGGGGGCGTAGAACTTGTGATAGAAGAAATAAAGCACAATAGTTTCTTTACGTTTGTTGTATTTGTTGTTACACGTAAAACTATACAATAGACTATCCGTGCTGTGCTCACCACGGGTATCGAACCCGATATTTAACATTATAAGCCTTCAGACTTACCGCTGAACCGTCGAGGATGATTTCTTTAAGAGGATTGAATTTTGAATAATGTTTTACCGAATAATAAATAAAATAAAAAAGCCCAACGATAGAATTAACCATTACAACAATATTCTGTATATAAAAGACAGCGTTGTTTTCAACATGATTTTTAAACTGTGCTTTCATGGATTGCTTATATCAAAGAAAATGTGTTGGATATTTTTTTTTACCTTTACTATTATTTTTTATAATATGCTTAACGTTACTGGCGAAATAATTCTTATTTAAACAGCTTCAAATATATTGGTCTAAAGATGACAACTTGTAGAATAAGAACCTACAGATGTTTTCCTTTATAACCGTACAAAAAACAAAGCAATTTTGTTTCAGGTGGTCAATAGTTTAGATTACTCACGGTTTAATTTTCTTTTTGAGGAACAACTTATGGAATATTTGCTAGATTATACATATTTTTGAATGGTAATAATTTATTTTTTCCCGATTTTCATAGACGGGCTAACTACAGTCTTTATTATTATTATTATGTTATGCTATAAATTATATAATTCGTCGTTAGGCTAATATAGCATTTTGCAATGATCGTAATGTAGACTGGATAATTATAGAATTGTTAAAAATTATAAAAGAAAATACGAGTGATGGCCAGAATAAATATTTTTAATTCCAACGTTTCGTCGTACTAGTTTTAACAAAAATAGTTACACCATACCACCATAGCTTGAACTGAAAGTGATGCGTAGAATGGTAAAAAAACCTGCATTTTTTATGTTGTGCTTCCTTTAGATAGTGTTTATTCTCACTTTTTATTTTATTTGATAATGATAATCAAAGTATATTAACTGCCATTAAAGTATATGTAATTTGTTTCATGTATCCAATATTTACCACGAGAGGGCGACTTCTACTTAAGCTGAAGAATGTGGACCGAAAAGATTCAAATTGAAAATTTTTATTTCGTTTCAAATTTAATAGATTCATGGTAATTTCAAATCTTAGTGTACATTGCAAAGTATGTAGGAATATTTGTTAAAACTCTTAAAACTACAGTAACTAAGTAATTTGGCAGAATGAAATAGTCAAATTCTGAAAAAATTGTCAAACATAGAAGAAGGACTGTTTCAAAACCCATACTGTATTGGCTATTCTTGATCAAATTCTGTGAACCATTACCAAAGGACGAAACTTGGTTAAGCACTTACAATATTAGTTTACTTAATTTGAAATTGAATTACTTTTATGCTTTCAACAACGATTGTTTCTAGATCTACCATCGGGATGTTTCACACTCGCATACATATTGGTAATTAAAAAATTAATAATGCATAACTCTTTTAAACTGTTTACAATATTTCCAAAATATTCAACACAACGGTTTGTTGAACTTCCACATGTTCTAAGTTCTAGGTATCTGAAAAATGTGAAATATGTGATTTTTAGTATTCAATTAAGTCAGGAGTAATCTACACTAAATTTAATTAACTATTATTATTAGTACAATAATGTTAATGAATTGAGAGTAACTGACATTGAGTGATGAGAGCTTGTCATCTCTGTGAAACTTTGGCCCAAGTTTTAACCTTTTTATTAATTCATTGATATCATTCCGAATGTAGGCTTATTTTTCTAATCTGTCATTTAATGATTTGTGTATTTTCTTCATAATCTGAAGTAGAAGGTTACGGAATGTTGCTGTAGAAAATTAAGAATAGTCACAACAAACAACATAAAACTTTACTTGTATAAAACTGTTATCTTAAACAAAAAAATTTAAATCTGATAGATTTTTTCATTATATAGAATAATTTCACATTTGTAATCCTAAGTTTAAAAACCTAAGCTTTCAACAGTTTGTGGTTATTTTAGCAGAAGGATAAAAAATAATGTAGAGTTATTTCTAGAAGAAAAGGTTGAAGTGTGCTTTAATTAGAATACTTAATAGTAATTTTCTTTAGGGACAATACAAGTTCTAACCTTTTCTTGTTTCTTTGCAGGCTGATATCAATGTTTAGAGAAATTAAGGTGAAATACAGATATAACCATGGAAGAGTTGAAGGTAAAAGTACTCTCTTTCAGTGAGGAAAAGAATAACATGTTAGAAGTCAAGATGCAGAAAGAAGTAGAAACATTATCTTTCTGTAATAAGTGTGCATTTTTATACAAACTAAGAGTGATCAGTTTTTGATCTTTACAATGTTCTCACATGATAATATGAGTATTAGCTATGACAAAACTGTGTTTTAACTTTTATCTTATCTTAGTAATTTTTATGATACTTGCATAAATGTTTTGCAGCTACTATGTTTTAAAAATTTGTTTTCTTAATTCACAGGTAATGTTGAAGACCTTAATGGTAACCGTTGATTTTATTTCCTAAGATGAGATATTTTGGAATGAAGAAAAAGTTAAGTGTTGATCATTAAATCAAGTTTGATAAATTGATTTTGATACTTTTATTGTCTAAATTACAAAACTCCTTGTAAATATACATGTAAGGTTAGGCAAAGTAACAATAAGGTTATCAAACAAGAATGAAGCATTGTTTGACCTATTTAAATGTTACCTTTTACATTAATTGACAGAATCTTAAAATAATACAAATGATGAGGAAGTTAATCCAAGAACTTGTATGTACTCAACATTGTTAATAACTTCCTAAAATTGCCATCTCCAGGATTTACCTATCAACATTAATATTAAAACAATAGTCAGTTGACTGTGATTGAATACTTGCCAATAGCAAGTGTGACTGACAAACTTTTAAATGATGACATTTGGTATATTAAAAGCATAAACAATCTTACTGCGCATGGTTTCTGTGAGATACTGGTCATAAGACTTGAGTATTATGGCAACAACTTTATTATACAAATACAGTTCATTAATAAGGACAATAAGGTTGACATGAACATTTTTATTATACATGTAAGATTCATTATCATGAACAATAAGGTTGACATCACATTGTATTATACATGTAAGATTAGTAAGGTTGACATCAACATTTGTATTATACATGTAAGATTCATTAACATGAACAATAAGGTTGACATGAACATTTGTGTTATACATGTAAGATTCATTAACATGAACAATAAGGTTGACATGAACATTTGTATTATACGTGTAAGATTCATTAACATGAACAATAAGGTTGACATGAACATTTGTATTATACATGTAAGATTCATTAACATGAACAATAAGGTTGACATCGACAGTTGTATTATACATGTAAGATTCATTAACATGAACAATAAGGTTGACATGAACATTTATATTACACATGTAAAGTTCATAGATAGGAATATATGACTAAATATTTTGGTCTGTAGCATCTATTTATTGAAGGATTATTTATGTGGGAAGGTACATATAAAAAGTTTCATATCTATAGTCAAATGTTCTCTCTGAGTTTGTGGTTGAAGTATTTAAATTATTTAAGATTTCACAAGTTTTTTTATTAACACGATTACATGGTGGATAACTCTTCAGTAGCCCACAGAACAAGAGGATTTGTAGCCTTCAGTAGTCGTATTTCAAAATCAGGTAGTGTTGACACTAGTTTCTTCTAAGTAGATTAGTGTTCTTCTGTGAAAGTTAGCCGTGTTAGATTTTTGTATCATATTATTAACCATCATTTTGACCTATGTTTTTTTGGATAGATAACCATCTTCCAAGAAGCTCAAACAGAAACAAGATAATGTTTCGTTTTTCTTTGAGAGTATTCTGTAGTTAATTCATTGTCCACTAAAGATGTATATATATATATATATTTGATATATTCACAAATTTACTAATTCTAAAAACCAAATTGCAAGGAAATTATTCTATATATTTATAAATGTATAAAAATGTCCATATTAGGTTTTATACAACTAAAAAAAATTAAGAACAAGCTTGTATTGTGGTACATCTGAAATTGTGTTATTAATGTTTTAGTATTGGATGACAGTAAATTTCCAGATATCAGTGGCTATAAACTGATTTATAATCTTATTGTAGTAACAACATATTCAGCTTAATACCTGAACTTTAAACCAAGAATCAATAAAAGTAGCTTAGAACGTAGATGTTGTATGTCCATTTTCTTTGACTGTTAAATGATCCAGTTGATGCATTACATTTATCATTATTCATGGTCAGTTCTTTTCCACTGAAAATTATAACTATCTCCAGTCATTGTTTTATAAAAGGATTATCACTACTTTGTTCTGTTATTATGTCATTTTCATGTGTTTCATTGTTGGAGTTTTTATTTAGTATTTACTAAATAAATGTTATTTTACAAATCATAATAATTTTACATGGTTTTTAATCACGTTATTTAACAAATCAAATACTTTTGACTAAATTATCTTCAAAAATACTTTAGTTTTTTGAATTTATATAAACTAAAGCTAGAAAGTTAATATATATATATATATATATATA